ATTGAGGCCTTGTGCATGGTTTCTCGAAGATTCCTGAATGGGCCTTTTTTTTACAGAAAAATGTGAAACACAAGAATGATCCCCAATTGTTTGTAGGCCTGTTTGTCAGACAACTGGAACATTGAAGAACATGCCCGTTGTATGATGCAAACCTGCACCCTGCAAGTTTGCATCAACCCAAACAAGGGTCAGGGAAATTAATTCCCAGTCAAACCGAAGCAGAAAGAGGAGAAACAAACAGTTCACATTATTGGCACCCCATATTGTTCAATAGTGATCATGAATCGTATTAATATTCAGCAATAATTCAGCAGCACTGGCACTTACAATTGATATTTGTGACATAATACATGTGCTTTTCAAAGAGCTCTTGAGTTCAATTACAGACCTGAAACTGTGAATATGCAATTATAACTGCATATTCTGTAAGTATTAATACTCACACACAAATGTACTTAATATCAAACCAAACAAGTCAGAGCAGCATAACAGTACTAGTACTAATCATTGTGAAGCTGCATCTCACATTATCTGGGCAAGATTGGAAATGGTTTAGAGGAAATCTTATCTTGCTTTTAAAAAAAATGCAGGGGTCAGGAACCTTTTTGGTCGTGCGAGCCATATTAAGATAGAGCTAAGTGCATGTGAGCAAAAGACTTTCAGAACAGCAGAAATATTCCTAAAGTTGGCAATAGACATGCATTCTTTGATACATGAGAAAAATGAAGAGCAACCATGATTTTCAGCTGTGACTCAATGAGCCAAATTAGGCTCATGAGCCATAGGTGCCTGACCCCTGCTCTATAGGGTAAACACCCCAGTTTCTGGCCTGTCTCCAGCATGTTGTCCAGTGAGGCTTAAATCCAGCATAATTAATTAGTTAATCTAGCCGTTTTCAAGCATTATATCAACATCTCGAACGAGGACCCATTACTGGTGTTTCCCGGTGTGCTCACAGGGGTGTCCACTTCCTATGGGAGTATCAGCGTGGCGAAAAAACTGGGGTGCTAACCCTACGTATGCACGGCTGAGCTTCTTTTAAAGGCCACATTCCATTTGCCTCGGTGGCACCGTGGAACAAGACCAACAGAAAATGCTCTGAATGTTAATCCTTGAAAATTGAGAACAGACACGAGGGAGAAAAGAACAGACACGAGGGAAGAACAAACATGAGGGTCGAGCTCCCGCCATCTCCGGGGGATCTCCCGCATGACGAAGTCGTAGTCCACGGGGATCTCCTCGACCACGAGCTGCACGCGGTCCTCCCTGCCGAGGAGGCGCGGGAGCAGCTTCATGCCGGTCACGTACACCAGAGGCAAGGCGTCGAGGCTTCCCATTCTGGGATGGAAATATCGGATGAAAGATGCCACAGGAGGAGGAGGGGGAGGGGGAGGGGGGGGGGGGGCAGTCGACTCTCGTTATGACGAAGGCGATGAAGCCGTCGGAATTACATCGCTATATCGGGTTTTCGTTATTATCGCTATATCGTTATGTCTCCATTTGGAGGACCGAATCCTTATGATCCCTTCGTGTATATCATTTCATCATCACTTGGGGACTTTATGGGGGCCCAACGGCTTTTGGCTTCAGGAAACAGATCGCGAAGTTGATCCTCCAGCGCATCCACGTCGTTCAGATCAACATTCTTGGGTGGGGCCAGCTCCTCGTGCACTTATCTGGGTACGATTTCATACAAAATTTGCACACCGGGCCATTGCCGTAAATAAGGGGGGAGGGGGGGGCAAGGGGGGGCATCTGCCGGGGGCGCCGAGAAGGGAAGGGGGCGAAGCAAGCGAAAGGCGAATGAGGCACAGAAAAAAAAAGTGTTGCGCAGTGAAAATAAAATCAAGCAGCAAAATGGATTCTGATCGTGTCATTGACATCTTTGCGTTTCGCAAAGCAAGGAAAGCTCTGCTATAATTATATAGGGGTTTAGGGAAAAAGCCACCCGGAAATAAGACCCCCAAATTTGGCAAAGGCAGAAAAGCGTCATCCCGTTACGTTCGGGTCAGATCAGACTCATTCATTTTTGGGACATTTAATGATATTGATGCCATGCAATTTGATAAACTCCATTGAAATGTTCTAAAGAATAAAACCAGTCCAACTTCAGCCCATTCCTTAAAAAATGAACAGTATGGCCAAGCCCCCCCCCCCCGCAGAAAATCTTTTGATTGTGGCCGCGTTGCAGGATGAGGTGATTCCACTCTCTGAACGCTTCTTGGAATTTGTTCTCAAAATAACAATTGTCATGTTTTTGTTTTTATTTTATCTCCATCCTATCCACTTTTTATCCTCCTCAACCCCGCCCCGCCCCGCCCCGAAGTCTGTTCAAGCATTGCACTGAGATGAGTCAATGTTCACAGCTGAACAGAGTCCTTCTTCCCTCCATAATGAATAAATTATCATTCATAAATTTTAAATATATATTTAAAGAAGTGCTTCCAATCGAGCGATGCTTTGCATCTTCCATCGTTTTATTCTAAATGTAAAATCGGTGATATTTTACTTGAGTAATCGATGGAAATTCACTCTAAAATATTAAAAGCATGGATAATTATGAACTACATCCCTGCGTGAATGTGTCTCAACATCGCCAAATGAATGTCTTCAATTATATGTATAAATACAGAGAAATGAATAATTACAAAGCAACCACCCGGGTGATTTTCTTCAGCTTTCGTCAATTGTCTATTATTATTTTTTTTTTTCCCCCAGGTAGCTTTTCCCTGAACCCCAATTATAGAGGGCGACTCGCGAGCGTGCCAATGAATACTTTTGGGATACTCGAGAGCTCGTGACTATTCCGTATACTTGAATTTATAAAAAGCCAACTTGGCTTCGCCATTCACTTAAAGGGAGGGCGTGCAAACTTAGACGTGGATACGCAGGTACTAGTTCCTGGAGGACTGGCAGGTACAAGTCAGGGAAAATGCCAGGGAGGGGGGGGGGGCGCCACATGGGGTAATTACGGCCCTGCACCGGGCATGCGAAACGTGCACTTATGCGGTTTGTACGCTAAGCCGGATTGCACTTATCCGGGTTTAGATCGTGTACGAAACAGAGCAAAAATTCTGGGCATGGAGAATTTGTGCAGTTATCCGGTTTCTACTATTTTGGTTCAATATGTAAAAATTATCGGGCTAAAATTGGGTCTGAAAGGGCCGACACGCAACCTGTTGCACGTCCCACGGACAGACCATCTGACCTCGCTCTAAAATCGCCGGAAACATGCATCGGCCGCGAGCGCGTGAAAGCCTCCACTGCGAACACGCCTCCAAGAGCCTTGCACAACGAAGCTCGCACGAGACGGGTGGGGCCTTTCTCGCAGGCCGCAGATGAGGATGATGACGACTGACTCTTCCGAGTTTCCGTCAAGCGGGAACTTTCGTTCCCCCTTGAGATGGAAAACTCATTCAGTGTCCTCTTTGCCCGAGGGCACGGAAATTCTTAGCTTACATCCGCGTTCGTTATACAGAGAGTCGACTGTATTTAAGAGAAAACTGTAAATCATCTCCACTATCTTCCTTTCACAGAATTTTCCATTTATGTCTCAAAGAATCCCTTCCTGGGGGGGGGGGGGGGGGGGAAAGGAACCCTGAACGGAAAG